GTGCGTCCGACCCCCTTTAGGGAGCTGATAGAGACGTACAGTGGGAGGCAGACCGCTTATCGCCATGCGCGTACCATTCGAAGTCAAAGACGTAGGTACATGTACAATGAAATTAAGAGATGACCAGACTCACTTATTATGGCATAAAATTCACCACAGTGAGAGAACATGTACAACAAGTGCCACCACGTTATTCATAATATAGATGGACAGATTTCTGCAATGTTGTTCCACTCAAACGGCGACGCCACCGTCACTTTCTACATGGCCAGCTTGTGTCTCTGGAGAAAGCTCTTCCTCCACGTCACCGACGCTGTAAAGAGAGCGCTGTCGATGCCCAGCTTCTTGGCCACTTTCTAAGCGTGGTTCGACAGCATCTTCCCGTCAGGGAACGCCGAATTCTGCATCAGCGAACCACACAAATGCACTCTCACGTCATCACTAAGCGAAGCCCGCCCTGCTTTGCCAGCGATGCGACTTGGCGGGCTCACAGACTCACAGGCTTTCTCATTTTTTCGCGGTCTTTGATCCGGCGTAACGACACGCTTCTTGCTGCGCTTAGCCTCTACCGAAAGGTCGGGAAGAACCGCTCCACTGTGGACGACATATCTTTGCTCTCCTCGTAGAACTTTATCGCTGCCAGACGCGTCTCGAACGTAGTGGACGATCGCACATTCTTGCGCTCCTTGCGCCCGCCGCCTTCCTTCATCGGTAGCCTTCCCATTTTTTTCGTTTACTATGTTCACATGTTTGATACCTCCTAATGTTGATACGCATATAGAAACGAATTCAGCTACACCAAAATGCGCTGCCACCTGCTGTCCGGACTCCGGGGCTACATTAGCTGTGTATACGGCTCCAGATTGTTCGTCACCAGCACTAACTAGGGCATGAAAGTCGGCGGGTACAACACCGTAGACTATTTCTTGGCTCGTATACGTACAGTTTACTCGTCCTTCATCCATGAAGATTCGATCACCATACAAACTACAGCTATCTTGATAGAAGCCTAGCAAAACACGACTTCATTTTGTGGTGATACCGGTACATTAAGTATGATATGTACAATGATGTATCAATTGGTTGTAGGAGACCAAAACTAGTTCCTCCTGCGAATGCGGAGAGGGTGTGCTTCAGTATTGAAAACGTACTTGTCAAGCGGAATGAGAGTCTCGGGTGCTTGCAGCAAGTAGTGATACTTGAGCGTCTCGGCTAAGAAGAAACTCTCCATCTTGTTCTCGGTTTGGGCAGGCAGCTGCGTCAGCTCCTATTTTGGATACGAAGAAATAAAGGCTTCAAGTACATACCGGAACGAAATTGGGGTGATAAATGCGAGTTAAACAGCTGAATACTGGAGGCTCAAACGGGTACTCGTGTCCGAACCTACAAGAGAGTCATTCAGCTAATGATTTTTTTCAAAAGCAAGTGACTAAGCTTACCGAACGGAGAAATTAAAGACTCCACCTTCATATGGAGAGCCTGAAGGTCCTCGAATGAGTACTTTCCACTCCCAGGCGTATTCTGTTGTCAGTATGAAAATGTCGATACTGCGAGTCATTCCAAGGACAATATAAATGCTAACCTTTCACTCCAAATACTTGCGAGTTGGGAGTGGGTTGAGTATTCAAGTCGAGGAGTTCACGACGAATAGCCATTTCGTGTTTGGAGTACTGAAGAAAGATTGCCAGCTTGTTTCCGTCTCCGCGTCGAATATCACTCACAAGCTTCAATACAATTTGTTTAAGGTCCGGATGATTCAGTAAAGCAAAAGAGCTAACGTACCCGAACAAACTCAGGATATTCAAGCTCACCCGACCGATTCTCATCGACTTTGTCAATGAGCCCCTGTACCTACTTAAGCCAAACATAATTTCATACGACTAAGTTCATATTTAAGCTGTGTACCTCTTCAAGAGTGGTTATGATCCCCATCGACTCCATTAGAACAATGAGCTCGGAGGCTGCAATACTGCCGTCGCCACTTGTATCAAAATCTGTAAACTGTAATCGAAAGAGCGTCAGATTGTCGTCAGATACAGCAACCCCCTGTAGTCAAACCTGTTGCTTCATCTGCTCGAGCTCCTCCATTGAGAACTCATGCTTGACGCTCTCGGGAAGTGCAGCTATCCATGATTCAGGCGCACCAACATGGACCTTTACCTTCATCGTTGCTCCATGTACAGCACTGTCGTTAACGATAATAAATGCTGGTTGTCAATAATGATGAAGTACTGGACGAAGCCCTTGCTAGAAGCCGCATGCGCTATCTAACTGTTATCCACCACGGTCCCACGTTGGAAATGTCGACAGCCTGCTCGATATGCGGCCGTTACCGAGACGCACAATGTTGTCGTGAGTGCGGGCGGTGGCACCACCCTCAATGTGTACGTGGGAGCTGTCGTGGGATAGGAACTGTAGACAAAGATGGCCTCCTCATAGCGCGAAATCATGCTCTTCAATATCAATGGTCCACCAACAGCTCTGACGTATTCGTTTCAGCCGGAGACGGAAGCGTGTTAGCGGCGTGCACTCAGCACGCATCTGGTACCTGGGCCATGCAACAACCCGAGGGTCAATCAGTAACAGGTCGGATGGCGATTCACAAGAGCGAT